ATGAATAAAACTAAAATAATAAATCAGATTTCGGTCACAAGTGTTTGAGACATTGAAAGTACAAAATGAGTTCTCCTCAGACACTTTCTGCTCCCGCTGTCAGCCACACCTGTTCCTGGTGTTATCAGTCACAGCTGCAGCCACTCTTCCAATCAGCTCCAGCCCACATAACCTTTCTGCGCTCCCCCCTTAAACATTTTGTAAGCTCGTGCTGCCTTGTCAGCATTTAGTTTTATTTAGTAAAATTTTTATGTTTAGTTTTGCTGAAGGTCCTCGTGTCAGCCTGCATCCTTGGGTCCAACCACCTCCAGGAAACATGGGAAAACATCCTCAACTGTTTAATTTTCAAGCCACAAACAGAAGAAGGAGGAGAAAAAGATTAGGAGGTAAGACTTAGACAAATGTGAGGAGCTTTATGTAATCAGTGTGACTTTTAACAATTGTTACAAGCAGTCGTGTGTACATTTCCACTAATTCACTAATAGTGGAACTAGCTTCTCATTTAGCGGATTAGCTTTATTGCTAAAATTGGAAACCATTTAGCCTCCGCTAAATTAGGTTCTGCTAATTTCAAGTCCATTAAAAAGAATTCACAAGTGTTAAACTTCTATTTTCATGCCATTTATCCCAAATTAAATAAAAACTATCCACTTTTGCAAGCAGATAAACTTCAAACTAAGAGTGTCAGATCATCTAATAATATCTAATAGATAATACAAAAAATTGACTATGTATAAAATATGATAGAGAAAGTATTTATTTTTGTTTAACTAACTACAAACAGTATTTACATACTTGAGGTGCAGTATTATTCAGCCCTAATGTAAATATGTGTGATGTAATGAATGGAGATTACCATTTTGTCTGTTTAGCAGCTTTAGTGGAGCGAAGAAACGTGTTTACTGGGTTAGTGGTTAGTGAACCTAGTTATCTGTGCCCATCACTGGTTATGTTCTTATTAGCTGTTTTTCACTGCAAGAAAAGATTTATTTAATTTGATTTTTTTTTGAGTGACCACTTGAGTTTATGTGACGATCTGAACAAGCAGAGTTTCCGTCACTTTGTGTGAGCCCAGTTCATACCTTTCAGAATTTCTTTCTATAGTTCTGATTTGCCTGATTAATAATTTTACCATAATTATTTGTAGCAATAATTCCTCCGGAACGACAGAAAAAGTCACGGTGTTTGCTCTGACGACTGTTACGTTTGCTTCTTTCACTTATGTAATTTTAACGATCATGTTCAACAACCATGACTTTCACTTCCACCTTTTTTGGTTTTACATTCTTTCTTCTTTTTTTTTTAAATTTTTTTTGGTTATTTTGTATAACTAAAATTTTATTTCCTTCTCACACAGGCATGTACTCAAACCCTCTGATTTCAAAAATAAACGTTTTTTTTTATATAAAACTGATTATCACTTGCATGAGGCAAAGGCAGATATTTTTGTGTGATTGTGCGATGGTGACCTTCAAGGACTGTGAAGTTGGCTCGTGGCACAGAAGTGAACACAAAGCAGGTTTAAAGAACAATGCCTGGTGGTTTTATTTAAATGGTGTTGTGCATTTCTTGAGAAATGCAGAGTCTTTATTTTTACAAACATTCCTCATCTGGACTGAGACAAAGTTTATATCAAAGGAGCAATACACAAGATATACTGTATTAGACTTGTTATTTTCCTGCTGTGACATGCTGGATGTTTGGTGTTTCTAAGTGTAATGATGAATTAGACCAGGGGTGTCAAACTCAGTGACACAAATTTTAAAACTTGGCCCAAGCTGAGGGCCAATTTCTGTCAAAAGTTATTGATGAAATGTTTTATAACAAACAATTCTTATAGGAATACAAATGATGTATTATTTAGAAC